GGGGCCGGGCCGGGAGCGGGGCCGGGCCGGGAGCGGGGCCGGGCCGGGAGCGGGGCCGGGCCGGGAGCAGCGGGGCCGGGCCGGGAGCGGCGGGGCCGGGCCGGGGCTCCGGGCGCCGCGGCGGGGCCATGAAGGACTGCGAGTACCGGCAGATCCCGCCCGGGGCGGCGGCGGCGGCTCCGGGCCCGGGCACAGCCGCCTCGCCGCCCCCGCCGCCCGCCGTCCCCCCGCGGCCGCGGCGGCCCCGCAGGAAGTGGGAGGTGTTCCCGGGCCGCAACCGCTTCTTCTGCGGCGGCCGCCTCATGCTGGCGCGGCACAGCGGCGTCTTCGTCCTCACCCTCGGCCTCATCCTGGTCACCAGCGGCCTCTTCTTCGCCTTCGAGTGAGTCTGGGGGCGGTGAGGCCGTGCGGGGGCTGTCCCTCGGCTCCTTCCCCGCAATCAGCCCTTGACCCCCCCTCTTTGAGCCCCCTCCGTTCGGGGGAGTGGGGGGTTAGTTGGCATCCCACCCTTATCCTCGTGGTGGAGGGAGGTGGGCTGGGGGGGCGCCTTCCCCCCTCCGTGAGAGCCCCTTTATCCCCCCCTTCTCCCCACTGACCCCTCCAAGCCCTTTCCCCACTGCACAGCCCCCAGACCCCCTTCGCAGGCAGTCACTGCCCCCATCACCTGTCCCCAGGTGTGTTTATGGGGGCCCAGAGGTGGCCCTGCACCTTGTTTGCTTAGTGTGGCCCCGGGAAGGGTTTAACATCCCCCCAGGATCCCCCACGGTCTCTAAATACGCCGCCTCCACCCCGACCCAGTGTCCCCTCCTGCTCCCAAGGACAGAACTGGCCCAAAATTGCAGCCAGGGAACCCCCGGGGCTGGTGGGCTTTGCCCACCGCTGGGATCTCGGAATAGTGTTTCTGTTAAATGGTGAAATCCTTGGGGGTCCCACCTCGAGGGTCTGCACTGGACCTCTGCCCCTGCTGTGCAGCCGTGTCCGGGGAAGAGGCAGCTGCATCTCCCCAGCCCCCTTTCCTTTGGAAAGCTGCTCCAGGGAAAGCTCCCTGCTCCTGCACCCTGAGGGAGGGGAGAGCCAGGAGCACCCCGTTATGTCCTGCACTGCCCTGCAGGAGGGCAGGAGCACCGTGGGTTATTGGCACCTCAGAGGGATTCTGCCGTCCTGCCTCGGGAGGGAAGGGAGATGCTTTTCCCTGGGGCGGGAGGGCAGTGCCTGCCTTTGGATCACGGCGTTATCCCCGCAAGTCTTGGAGTAAAGCTGCTGGAGCCTGCTGGCGGGGAGATGAAGGCATTTGATCGGATTAGAGGTTCTGAGAAGTCAGATGAGCTGAGAGGGGCAGGCAGCTGCGGGAGGCAGTCACAGCATCCCGCTGGAAAAACTCCTTTCTCCGTGTCATCCGTGCCCCTGACAGCTCCCTGCGCTGGGTCTGGGACTGACGGGCAGCTCTAGCACAGTGACTGCTTTGTGTGGCCAGGCAGAGGACATCTGCTCTGCCTCCCTCCTTGCCGAGTCACTCTCTTGGGCTTGAAGATGCCCTGGGGCTTTCCAAGTTGTTATTTTAGCAGGATGCCTCTGTTGCACTGGTTACTGTTTGCTGGATGTGCAGCAGTCTTGCCTGTGTCTACGCTTCGTGTTTGTATGGAAAAACCTGGAGCAGATTGCCCAGAGAAGCTGTGGCTGCCCCATCCCTGGAAGTGTTCAAGGTCAGGTTGGATGGAGCTTGGAGCAACTTGGGATAGTGGAAGGTGTCCCTGCCCATGGCAGGGGGGTGTAACTGGATGATTTGTAAGGTCTCTTCCAACCCAAAACATTCTGGGATTCTCTGATTTATATGATTTCTTGTTCTCTGATGGGGCAAAGTGGGCTCCAGAAGTTCTCCCAGGAAAGGGGTGACAACAAGATCACGTCTCCTTTCACAGACCTTTCTGTCCCTCTGCCAGAGAGTCGACCAAGGGGCTTGGGCTGAAGGGGCTTTGTTGCTTAGTGGCTGCTTTGTTCTGGACAGCTGAGCTCGGGAGGTGAAACAAAAGTTGCTTAATCCTCTCAAAACTGCTGCAGAGCATTGCTGAGCCTGAGCACTGCCCACAGACATCAGGGCTGGGGCAGCCTGTCCGTCTGTGCCGGGTGTGATCAGTGCTTGTGACAGCAAATCCCTCTGCAGGAGGGGTCTCTGGCACTGTGTGTGTCCCCTGGTGTCCTCACCTGCCACCTGAGAGTAACGGAGCTGCCCTGGTGTGGAGTGTGGTCACACCAGTCCCCATCTATGGAAAAACAGCCCCAGGTTGCGGCAGGGTGAGCCCAGGAGTGGCTGTTGACTGCAGAGATGCCTGGTGGCTTGTCACAGCGCCCAGTGCTGGAAGTGTCCTCGTCCAAACATCTGGCACACCAGGAAGGGCACATGAGTCATCCAGAGACGGCAAAGCTGCGTTGAATCGAAGCCAAAATCCCCCTCAGCGTCATGTGTTGGACCAAAAGGGATCGTGGTCACGCTGATTCTCATCCCTGTGTGGCTTGGGGTGTTTGCCTGTGTGTTCTTGGTGGTGCTGTTGTAGAGGTGACCAGGCTTTGGGGCAGCTGGGGGGTTTTTGAGACGTGATTCTGAGACTTCAGAAGACAAAAGAGGTTGTGTGCAGGGGCCTTGGTGTGTCTTGGTGCCAAAGACCCAGCACCACTCCAGTGTTTTCTGGGCTGGCTCTTGCTGTTCATAGAATATCCAGAGCTGGAAGGGACCCACAAGGATCACTGATTCCAGCTCCTGGCTCTGCACGGGACACCCCCAAAGAAGTTGATAACCCCAACAAGGCTGTCATACCCAGAGGTCTGCAGAGCAGCAGTGCTTGAGCCCACTACCCCGTGATAATTCCTGGTGTGTGTGTCCCAGCTGACACCTGGTTCTCTACAGTGATTGATAACAATGGCATTTTATCCATGTTTTTAACAGCTGCCCATTCCTTGCCACTCACCTGACCTTGGCCATCCCCATCATTGCCGCCGTCCTCTTCTTCTTTGTCATCAGCTGCCTGCTCCAGACAAGCTTCAGAGACCCAGGAATCCTGCCCAGAGCCACCCCAAGTGAGGCAGCAGACCTGGAAAAACGGATTGGTGAGACCTCTGTTCCCTCTCCTGTGTTTGGTTCAGTGCATGGCTGTGTGTCTGTGCACACACACATTCCAGGCTCAGCGAGCCCCACTTTTTGGGTCTTGGCTCCTTACTGGTTGTCCAGGGGATGAGAGAAACCAGAGTATGAGATTGTGAGGCTTGAGAGTGTCTTATGAGTCCTGGTAAGAGGTGCAACAAGCTCCTCCAGCGCAGCAGGCAGTGCTTCAGAGAGGATCTGCAGAGCATCAGAGGTGGTTTTTTTTCCTGTTCAGTCCCATCGCCTTCCCAGGCAGCAAAGTTGAAGGATAATTAATGCTTTTTAAGATTATGCCTTGCCATTGGGCCTGCTGTGCTGCAAGGTGTTCTTTAGTGTAGGCTAATGTTTGTCCTCTTCTGAAAACTGCTCTGTCACGCTGGTTTGGGGACAGCCAAGAAGGTGTTTGCATCCAGGAGCTTTGGACCTTGTTGGTGTGACTGGTTGTAATAAATGCTTTAGGAAAGCTGATGTGAGACAGCTTGAATCTGTCCCGCTGAAGACAGTTGCAAGGCAGTAATTCTACATCTGACTTAAAAAATGGGTTTAAAATATCCCCAGAGTGGTGATCCAACGTTTCTATTTATAAGGGCCTAAAGCAGTAATCTGGCTGCAGATGCCGCCTGATGTGCCAGCTGTTACTGTTAATATAATCCACTTATTATCCTCTTAACGTGCTCACTGTTGCATCACTGTTTTCAAAGACTCCCTCAGAGCTGGAAAGGTGCTCTTTTAGGAGGGACTAAAAGGAATAATCCCCAAAATTGCAGACATGATGCAGGGGTTTTCCAGCTTTTGCTGTGCAGAGCAACAGTCTCCAGCTGCCAGTCCCCAGGGAACAATGAAGTGTCATCACACACAGATAGAACTTGTGTTTCTAGAAATCTTCAGTTTCCACCTCGGGGAGGAGGAATCCTCTCATGCTACAAACACACACATGTCAAATCTCAGGGAATCTGCTGGAGCACCTGGGACGTGTGGTGATGGAAATGAATCCCTTGAGGCTGGTGGTGCCACAGCTCCAGCTGTGGGGTGGCAGGTTGTGGTGATGGAAATGAATCCCTTGAGGGTGCTGGTGCCACAGCTCCAGCTGTGGGGTGGCAGGTTGTGTGCTGGGACGCTCCTGCTGAGGCCACCCTGAGTCCTGTGACAGCAGAGGAGGAACCACACGTGCATTCACAGATGTTGTGACCCGCTGGACTCGCAGAGACGAGCTGGTGTTACTGGGCACCGCTTTACACTCACTATTTCTAAATTGCTTGACGTTCTCACAGCACTGGGTACTTACTGCTTCCTCTTGGCACCCCAGCAGCGTTGCCACCGAACAAAGAGAGGACATAAATAACGCTGTGAGGAGCTGAGTGGAGTTCCTGGCTGCCTCTTGGCTTTCCCTAAAACCAGGGGAGCACGTGCCAGTCCCTCCCCCGTGCCGGGAAGCAGCTCGGGGGGAAGGTGCAGGCTCTGAGTGTCCCTCCTTGCCCTCGCAGACAGCATGGGGACCTCCACGTACCGCCCTCCCGCCCGCACCATGGAGGTGGTGATCAACAAGTACGTGGTGAAGCTCAAGTACTGCTACACCTGCAAGATGTTCCGCCCCCCGCGCACCTCCCACTGCAGCGTCTGCGACAACTGCGTCGGTGAGCGGGGCAGGGGCAGGGGGGCTGCTGTCCGAGGGGGAAGAGGGGCTTAATTGTGTGATCATAGGAGATCTTGAGCTGAAAGGGACCCGCAAGGATCATCCAGTCCAGCTCCTGGCCCTGCCCACGGCACCCCAGCAATCCCACCCTGTCCCTGAGAGCGTTGTCCCAACACTCCTTGAACCTCGGTGCTGTGCCCACTGCCCTGGGGAGCCTGTTCAGTGCCCCACCACCCTCTGGGGGAAGAACCTTTTCCTAAAATCCAACCTAAACCTCCCCTGACACAACTTTAATACCGTTCCCTCGAGTCCTGTCACTGATCCTGTCACTTTTGTTCCTGGACAGACTGCTTTTTCTTCTAAAGGATTATAAAACAAGATACTGGGTGGTCTGTCTTCTTCCCATTTAAAATGAAAGCAGCACCAGTGCAGTGGCTTAGGTGCAAGACTCTGTGTCTCTGTTTTTCCTGCTTCTGGAAGGATGGCACTGAAAAATGCAGTTCAGGCCTCCACCAAACGAGGTTTGCTGCAGGCTCCTTGTTGTGTGTGGCCTTGCTGTCCCCAGGCTGGCAGAGACACCATCATAGCTGCTGGTGTTTGGGGATAGCCCTGGGTGGCTGTGCCTCCTGCTGAGGCTGGAAAGCAGCAGTGTTTGCAGAGGAGGTGTCTGGGGGAGCAGGCTGTGCTGTGAGTTGTGTTTGCAGTGATGCTCCGCATGAAATGGTTACCACAGTCTTGTCAGCCCTTTCATTAGGGTGTTTCCAGATACACTGCACCTGCCCCAGGTTCCCAGGCAGTTTCTGTGGGTTTAGAGATGTATCTTTATAACCTGGAAAAGTGTTTCTGCCCCTAAGAAGGAGGGGGGAGCTGACACACAAGGAGGGAGCAGCCTTGCCACGTGCACACACCCAGTGCTGTGGCGAGCTGGAAGAATTCCTGCTCTGTCCCTCTTCCCTTTCAGTTGCAGTGATAGTTACCAGTCACAAGGCTTGTATTTAACAGGTTGTGAGAGGAAAGGTTTGACCCTTGATGACAAAAAAAGACCATGTGAGCAGGCAGCAATGCTCCACTGAAACTTTGTGCCTACGTGCTGCTGCGGAGAGGTTGCAGTCTCCGGATGGTGGGTGGAAGCTCGATTTGTAGCTCCTCATTTCTGGAGTCTGAGCAGAGTTCGCTCCATTTTGGGGTTGAGGTGGCAGGAGTGCTCACTTTGTGTCCCTCATGTGTCCCTTTGTTTCAGAGAGATTCGATCACCACTGCCCCTGGGTGGGGAACTGTGTGGGGAAGCGCAACTATCGCTTCTTCTACGCCTTCATCCTCTCCCTCTCCTTCCTGACCGCCTTCATCTTCGCCTGCGTCGTCACCCACCTCACCCTGCGTGAGTACCACAGGTCCTGCCACTGCTGTGTGCTGTGCTCAGGGCCACCAACAACCTCAGGCAGCTCTGGGTCACTGCTCCTGTTGGGACAGAGCGTGGGAAGGGCCCTGTTGGGTTACACCAGGATTTTGAGTGTGGGTCTCAAATAAACAGGGCCCCAGACTTCAGGGAACCACAGATCCAGCTGCACCTTGCTTACTTGAGAGCTGGGGATGGAGTTCTCCCCGTCCAGAGCAGATGAGCTGGTGCTGCATCCGCTCCTAACCTGGCAGGGAAGGTGACTTTCCCATCAGCCCCAAATCTCCTGGAGCTGTGTCTGTGCGCTGACATTTCTGCCGAGTCCCAGACTGCAGGTGTTGCTCAGGCAGACAGACAGATCCATACGGCTCTCAGGGAGCTGTCTGCCTGCTCAGGAGGGGGGTTTTGGCTGGAGAAGCAGGGCTACCTGATGGGATGCCATTCCTTGTCCCGTTTTGCTTTGCAGGTTCTCAAAGGGATGGATTCCTGGCCACTCTGAAGACGACACCCGCAAGATATCCTTGTGCTGCCAGCAGCTGCTTGGGGTGCCCAGCACTGGTGCAGCAATACTAATTAACAGGGAGGGGCCAGGAGCTCTTTGTAAGGGTGGGTGACAAACTTGTTTCTGAGTTTGCAAGTTTAGATGGAGAGGGAAGCAGCTGGAGCAGGCTGTGCCTTGGTGGATCCCTGCAGACCGGCACAGGGAATGGGAAGCTTGCCCAAACCTCCCCAAACAGCCCTCTGCCTCTCCTTGCAGGATGATTTTGTTCTTTGAGACTTCCTTGACTTTTTCTTCACCGTGCTGGAGCTGGTGATCTGTTTTTTCTCAGTCTGGTCTATTTTGGGCCTCTCAGGTTTTCACACTTATTTAGTCGCCTCCAACCTGACAACAAATGAAGATGTAAGTACCTTGTCCTTCTCTCTCAGTACCTGAATGCTCCTCCTTCTGCCAGGCTGTCCCTGATCCACCCTGAGCAGGTTTTCAGGGAGTCCTTGGCTGTCTCAGTGCAGTGTTTCAGTAAGATGTGCTGCCTGCATGGCCTGTGATAACCCACTGCAGAGCAAACAGCCTGTACCCAGGGCATTCAGGCTGCAGTTTCAGGTAGCTGAGTTAGAACCATCACGTGTGTGTTTTTTCCAGTCTGTTTGTGGCCTTGCTTAAAATTAGGAGTTCTGAGATTAAAAAAAAGAAGGCTGGCCCCAGAGATTTATTTGGGTGTCAGCTTGGTGATGTGAATTTAGCATCCTGTGTAACCACGGGTTTCCTCTGAGACCCTGGGCGAGTCCCTTTGTCTCTGGCAGTTCCTCATCTCTAATTAGCAAATAATGCACAGACATCTGATGAGATTTACCTTCAAATCTGAGGTGCATGCAGACTCCAAGGGCCAAATGAGTGCCCTGAGTGGGGCAAATTGTATGGAAAAGCAGGATCTGTCTGATGCTCAGAATCAAAATTCACCCTTCTGGCCAGAAGTACCTGTAATCCTTGCTGGAAGCTTCCAGGCAGGTTTGCATCCCTTTTTTTTTTTTTTCTTTTTTGGCTTTTTCCCCTTTCCTCTCCACTTGAGGTGTGGCAGAACTGCTCAAGGCCATGTAAATGAAGCTCATGGAAGTTGTACCCCAGTACAGAGAGCACCAGCAGCCTGTTGCCTCTCTGGCCTCATTGCCAGCCTTATGTTGCAGCTGGGGGGGAGAGAGTGAAAACAAGAGGAGGAAATGTGCTGGTAAATGTGTTGGTAAATGGTTCACTGGAGCTGGGGCCTGAGGCCAGGTATAGCATCTGCCCACCAGTGTGTGCCCATGCCTGCTGCAGCCGGGGTTTCGAAACCAGAGTCCTGTGACAGCTGCTCAGGGTGGGGACAGATGAGGCTGTTGGTTGCACCATGAGCTGGGAATCCCCTCCTTGTTTGTTCAGCCTGAGGGGCCCAGGAGGGACCACAAGCTGGAGCCCTGCTCTGATGGGCTTTCAGCCTTGGAGAGGGGAGGAGGAGGAGGAGGAGAAGGCTGGGGTGGCAGATGGTGGCAGTGACACGTTGCCACGCAGCACAGGGAGGGCACAGCTTCAGAGCTTTCCAGCTGCAAGGCTGAACCTTGGCATAGGAAGAGGCAGCACTTTGCTGCTTGTTAAAGCAAAGAGGGAGGATGTTTGCAGCCAGAGAAACCTTCAGCCTCTCGAGCAAGGACCTGAATGAGTCCAATATCCAGTCCATTCTCCTGTCGTTATCTGCTCCCATCTTGATCTGTGTCCATCCTTCCCCTTTCAGATCAAAGGGTCCTGGTCAAATAAGAGGGGCTCGGAGTTTGCCAATCCCTACAGCCATAAAAGTATCCTCACAAACTGCTGTGCAGTGCTGTGTGGACCATTCCATCCCAGGTAAGAGCCTTGGGAATTGCATCCTGCTCTGGGAAAGGATGGATTTATCATGGTTCAGGGGAAGCTCCCAGCACAAACAGGTCCGCTTTGATGATGTGGAGGAAACAGTTTCCCACTCTGCAGAGAGAGGCTGGAGATGTCCAAGTAGGAGATGAACTGTTGCTTCTGTGTTGGAGCTTGATGAGTTTGGGTCACTTGTAATTGTTTCATGGAACTTGAAGATAAAACACGTCCTACAACTGAATAAGGGGAGAGTTACAGCATCAAAGGGCTTGACAGCAGATGGTCAATACTAGTACTGGCATTACTTCTTGTCCCCATGGCAGGGGATTGGAATGAGATGACCTTTAAGGTCCCTTCCACCCCAAACCATTCCATGATTCTATGATTTTTAGCATGTTTTTCCTCCTGTACTCTGATTACACCAGCCAGTGCAGAGATCTTGGGCTTTACCAACACTTAGATCACCTGGAATGCTCAGTATCACCCCCCCAAACGCTCTTACCTGGGTGTGAGTTACCTGCAGCACAGGATAATCACTGCTTGGTCACAAGATGGTGCAGTTGGGCAGAGTCAGGCCCTGCTCTGCTCTGCCACAGGAGCTGAGGACCTGCCTTGGAGCTCTTGCTCCGTCCTGGAGCACGTGGGGATCCACGAGATGAGTCTGTTCAGTGGATCCAATTTGGATTCAGGTGGAGCATCTTGGAGGTGCTACCTCTGTGTAACAGCAGCAGCAGGGGAGGGTCAGACTCACAGTCAGGTCTGTGGTTACATCAGGCCCTGCTCTGAAGTGCCCCCCCAGGCTCTTTGCAGGGTTCACAGGTGCCAAACTGCCGGTGCTGCCGTTCAGAGCTGGTAAATCTGTGGATTCAGGGGGCCCAGCTGTTAGCTGGGAGGTTGTGGGGATGAGAATAGTGTTTTACTCCAGTTCTTTCCTCATTCACGTTGGTTTTGTGTTGTGAAGACCTTTGGCCAGTTCCCTTTTGGGTTTGTGGTGACCCAGAGCTCTCTGTTCCTGTGGGCTGGCTGGTGGCTTGTGTGACAAGTGTGTGGTTTGTTCTCCAGCATCCTGCCCTGCTTTGTTTGGCAGCTCCCAGAAGGAGCCCTCCCTGTGGCTTGGGAGCTCCTGGCTTCAGAATCTTCACTCCCTTAACTCCTCTTCCCTTTCTGTTCTCCAGTTTGATAGACAGAAGAGGATTTATCCAGCCAGATAACGGGAGCCCGTCCAGCCCTAAGAGCGAAATCCCTTCCTTTGGAGCCAAAACTGACACCAGCATGGTAGGAGGCCTTCCCTAGCAGTGCTGTGATGTTCCCAGTGCCTGCTGTGCCTGCACCTTGCTCCAGCCAGTACTTTCCCCTCTCACCACCTCCCCAGCCTCAGGCAGGACAGCCCTGTGACCCAGAGCTGCCAAAGACTCACTCGAGCCATACGTTGCCTTTCTTTTTTTTTTACATTTATTTATTATTTTTTTTGTTTGTTTATTTGTTTCACTGTGATGTGGCCTGTCGGGACTTTTTGGCTGGCAGAGCCTGACAGCTTGTGGGACTCTGGGACTCGTGCCAAAAGCAGGGGTCCCTGCTGCACCCGGGGAGCCCCCAGACCTCTGAGCCCCCAGCGTCTGCTCCGGCGGATCGCTGTGATTCCTGCCGGGAGTCGTGAGGTGGGCCAAGGGTGGGAGGTGGGGACTGGCAAATGGTTTCCCCTCTGGGCTGGAGGAGGTATGAGCTCCCTGGTATCCCTGGTGTATCCACGAACACATCCTGCTCCCCTGTGCCGACGTGGAAGGGCTGTTCTGTCCCTTCACAGCCGGGGTCTCACCGCGGCCGCTGCCGGAGTGGCTTTCCTTGTCCAGAGGCTGCTGTGCCGTGGTAAGTTGGGCTGTTCAGCTGGGAGGACTCTGGCTCCCAGCAGACCTGGGAGTTAGTGAAGATGTCCTGGTGCTGCTGATCCTGTTTTCTGGCTGGTTGCTGAGGGAGGGGCTGAAGGACACTGTTTTGGCCCTGCCGGTTGGTCAGACACGTTTTGCAGCAACATGAGTTTGGGGGACCCTCCTTTAACAGGGAAGAAGAAGCACTCTGTGCTCTGTGACTCCCCTCGTGACATGCTGGTTGGCAAGTCTACAGCTGTCAGATTTGGGAACTGTAGCCTGCCAGGATTATGTCCTGTCTGTAAGAGACCAAGAGTCAACAGAAAAGTGTGAATTCCTGAGGGTTCCGCCCTTTCTGGGTGGAGTTTTCCAGAGGAAGCAGTGAGAGGGTCTGATAACCTCATGATCTGCTCTTGGTTTGGGTTTCTGGACAGCAGAGTGTCCCCAGGGCTGTTCCCAGCAGCTTGGGAGTGATTCCAGCTGCCTGGGCTCATCCATGAAGGGATGTCCCCAGCCCCTGGGGAGCAGTTCCAGCTGCCTGGGCTCATCCATGAAGGGATGTCCCCAGCCCCTGGGGAGCAGTTCCAGCTGCCTGGGCTCATCCATGAAGGGATGTCCCCAGCCCCTGGGGAGCAGTTCCAGCTGCCTGGGCTCATCCGTGACCATCACTCTGCACCTGTGCAGCCAGCTCTGTGTCCCTGGGGTGCAGGGAGAGCCACAAACCTTGTAGCAATACTTGAATCAAGTTATTAAAAGCTGCTGGATGTTTTTGCACAATTTGTAGGGTTTTTTTCTACATAGAACGTTTTCTACCCGGGGCAGGGAGCGTTGTGCACGTTGGCACCAGGGCAGGGGCTTGCAATGTTGAGCTGCTCATTAGGTTTCCGTGGATCAGACACACCTATTTCAACCTCAGGCAAAGGCAGCACATTTTGGGGGGCAGCCCAGCCCCCCTGAATTCACCAGCATCGTGCTCTGTACACTGAGTGCTTGTGCCTGGGGGATGGCAGAGGAGCAGTGAGGGGGGTTTACCAGGGGCCAGAATCCTTCCTGTTTTTATTTAAACCAGTTTCCTTTGTTACTCAATAAAATTCTATTTTTAAAGAGTTAATTGCTTGGGTTATTATTTTATTCCTTGAAGACAGAAGAGGGCAGGTGTCTCGGTGTTGACATCTCTCAGGTGCCAGCTGGACTCTTTTAGTCTCAGGCCTCACCTGGAAGCTCCTGGAACCTCCTGCTATGAGGGATGAGCAGCAGCTGGTGCTGCTGTGACTCTTGCTGGAGTGAAGGGATTTTGCTGTCCCACATCTCCAGGCTGGGCAGAGTCTCATCCCCTTCCTGTTGTCACCTCAGCGTCCGTTCCCCACCCGCCTCGCCGGGATCTGTGCTCCCTGTCTCTCCCAGCCCCTCTGGCCCTGTGGCAGGTGCTGAGGTTCATAACCTCTGGTGTCTTCCCCAGGAGGATGCCTGCCAGGACTTTGCCATTTCCTGCACAGCCTGACGGGATTTGCCCCTCCTCGGACCTTAGCCCTGATTTCTGAGGGTTGGCTGGTAAGAAACCACTTTCTTCTCCCTCCAATCCACTCGAGCCACCCATCTCATCTCCACTGCATGACCAGCTCTGTGCATGGAGCCCATCACCCTCCAGTTGTGCTGACATCCCTGGGCCCCATCCATCCATCCCACCAGCCCTGGGTTCTGTGGGTGAAGGGTCACCTGAGGGCTTTGCAGGAAGAGAAGGATGGGTTTGGTTTCCCCCAGCTTCGTGCTGGGGCTTGGCAAGGGATGGAGCTGCCTGGTCTGCGTGGGGTGTGTGGGATGGTTGTGTGGATGGGGGTTGGCAGAGGGGTCCTGCAGCCTGGGGCTGGCTGGAGGACACACCACAGTGCTTTGTGTTTGGTGGAGCTGCTGTGATGGGACTGGAGAAAGCCCCCAAGGGATGCAGAGATTTAGTGTTCAGAGCGAACTGCGGCCTGAGCAGAGTGGTGGAACCTGGAGCAGAGTTCTAATTCCAGCCCTGACCCACTCTGTGGGCCAGGCAATGCCTCCCCTCCCTGCCCTCTGCCTGTTCTCCTCTCTGTGACACCCAGTTCCCTCTCTGATGTGCCTGTGGCCCAGGTAAGTTCCTTCCAGGGCACATCATGATGACCTGTGTCACCTGTGGGCTGCAGAGCTGCCTCTCTCCTTCCCTCCAGCACTCCAGCTCCTGCTGCTCGTGCCTTGGAGCAGTGATGGAGACCACTGTCCCTTCCTCCCTCCTTGGAGCAGTGATGGAGACCACTGTCCCTTCCTCCCTCCTTGGAGCAGTGATGGAAACCACTGTCCCTTCCTCCTGTTTCCTCCTCCTCCTTCTCCATCTCACTGTCCCCATTCTGCCACCAAGCCCGGGTGCTCCACTCTGCTCCTGCTGCTCCTCGCTCACGGATTTCTGGCACTAACCCTCTCTTTCTCTTCCTCCCCTCTCCTCTCCCTCGCGCCGGGCGGATCCAGCACCAAGAGCCCTGGCAGCCCGCAGCCCTCTGCCTCCCGTGGCTCATCCCGCGGGGGGCTGAGCCCAGAGCCATGACCACCACCACGAGTGCCTCCGCTCGCCAGGGCTGCGCGGCCGCGCCTCCCTCCCTCCCTCCCGCCGCGAGACAGAGGGGAGGGGAAAGCGGCCGTGCACAAGGAAAAGCTTCTCCAACCCCGCTCCGGGAGCCGGGACGGCCGTCCCGCGGGTTCGGAGCTCAAAGCCATACAGCCGTCCCAGCCAGAGTGCAATAACTGCAGTTCCTGCTGTCTCCTGCCGCCGGTGGCTCCCCGTGACCACCAGTGTGACCCTCAGTGACGGTGTCTCCCTGCTGTAGATGCTGGAAGGTCGTGGTTGGCACCCCAGTGGGCTTTTGGAAGGAGCAGGTTCGCACCAGAACGTTTACAGCCGAACCAGTGGCATCACACACCCAACCCCACCAGCCCTTCCGTCTGCCAGAGGATTCTCCTCTCCAGACAGGAGTTAGTACATGGTCAGTTTGCCCTTGCAACCCCCCTGGCCAGCTCCCACTTTCCAGTCTCATCTTAGCCCAGCTCTAGTTTTAGGGGAAGGGGTTCCAGCCCCACAGCACCTTGAGTGGCCTCCCCTGCTCCGGAGGCTGCGGCTCCGGCCGGGCTGGGAGCTGAGTGGAGCAGCCAGGCCTTCCCCCAGCCCTGTAGGACTCACCATCTATTTATGCCTTTGACTTTTGTAACAAAAATAAAAGTTTCTCCTATTTACTGTACGCCGGCGTTTGGCTGCTGGGGGCGGCTCGTGCCTGGGCACGTCGGTGCCACGCTGGGCTGGGAGCCAAGGGAGCCACGGAGGGCTGGCACCCCTCTGCCATCGGCTGTGTGACCACCATGGGGACAGGAGCCAGGAGCTCCCCAAACTGGGCTGTGGCACAGTGCCCTTGGGGCAAGTCTCAGCCATCCATGGCTTTGCACCCTCCTGTGCAGCGGGAAGGGCCAGGCCAGGCTGGGGAAGGACACAGTGAGCACCCCTTGGAAAAATTTGTTGTCCACTGATGTTTCGGGAGCTGGCAGCGTCCCCCTAGCCAGGGGGAGCGGCAGGGCTGGATGGGGTGGCTGGACAGGCTGTGGGCATCCTTCCAGTGCCGCTGGGAATGGCCACGAGCATCCTCTGCCTCCTGCCATCACCCAGCCCACGCCTGCCCTTGGCTCAGGGGACTGGAGACGTGCACTGGCCTGGGCAGCATCCCCAGGGCCGGGGTTAACTGGGTGCCCTGCTCCCCGGGGTGATCACAGAATCATGGGGTGGTTTGGGATGCACCTTCTGGTGCTGCTTTTTGGCAGACAGGGCACCCATGGGTGCTCCGGGGGGTGATGCTGCACCCGAGCTCACCCGCAGCCCCTGCGCCAGGATCTGGGGCTCTTCCCTTCACCCACCGCCTGTTTTCCACGGAACCGGTAGAGCAGAGTGTTCCTGCAGCCTCCTCTCAGCCCGGCACAGCCAAAATTTGGCAGCAGCTCAGCCCCTTTGGCAGATGCCATATCCGAGGCTGAACCATCCACACCCCACACGTGTCCTGCTGGGGAAGGGGAATCCCGCCGGGGTCTCCCCATGGAGCCCTCTCGGAGCCTACAGGGGATTAAAGAGCCCAAACACAGACAGGGCGGGGCAGGACCATCCCAAGGGCTGGAAGCCCCATCTGGCATCGAGTCCTTCACCGGGGCTGGGGGCTGCAGACCCCAACCATGTATGGCTTTGCTGCCCTAAGGGGTGTGAGCTCAGACCAACCCACCCAGGCATTGCTGCCTCACGGTTTTCCAAGGAAAGGAGATGGATTTTAGAGGGCTGGGTACATTGTGGTGTCTGTTTGGCTCCAGCCCCTCCATGGGAGGGGGTTGTGCCTGGTGGAAGCTCTTGGAGGGCCTCTCTGGGTCTGCCTTGTCCGCTGGATAGAGGGTGGGAGATGGGCCATGGTCTCCTGTGTGCCCATTCCTCTGGGAGACACCTTTTCCCAACTCAGTGGGGTGGAACCTGCTCCCACAGGATCACTCTGACCTGGAGAAGGAGCTCTAATTGCTGGTGAGGTGCTGCATGTGACACTGGGAGGGGGACATAGGGGGGCTGGAGGAGCTGGACACCCTCACCTGCCACATGAACCCCTTGATGGGCAGGGGTACCCCAGATGCCCCAAACCCACCATATGCCCGGGGGCTTGGCCAGGAGGGGATGAACAGCCCCAAATCCCACTTTCTGGGGTGGGGAAGGAGCAGTGTGAAGGCTGGGAGTGTTTTCCTGGGCTGCAAGCGGTTGGGAAAAGCATCCTCGGGTCTTTCTCGTGTCCTCTCCATCCCCAGAATCCACCTGAGCTAGGAACAGGGTGTGTGTGGGGGGGGGATGACTGGGCGCTGCCGGCCGGGCTGTTCGCAGGGAGGAGTCAAGCAGCGAGTCAGGCTGATTAAAAAAATCACACCCCTCCTTTTTGCCTTGGCCCGGAGCCGCCGGGCGCCCGCCCCACCCTGCCCTTCCCGCACGCTCCCGCACGCAGATAAGGCCGGGTTTGGGCAGGGAGCGGGGCCCGGGCTGTGCCAGAGCCCGGCGTGTGGCAACAAGCTCGAGCGGGACGAGAGTGAAACTCAGCGCAAGGCGCAGCACTGATCCTAATCGGGGCTCGACCGAGCTGCCACCGCGGCCCAGCGCCCACGGGCAGCGTGGAAAAACCTTAAACGCTTTAAAAAACAGAACCCTAAAACTCTGCGACGGCGGCTTGAGGGATGGCAAAAGTCCCTGCTGGGGACGGTGGGACGGGGAAACGCAGCCCTGGGATGGAGGTGGGCACGAGGTTGGTGGGGATGGGGGTCTCCTCGCTCCCGGCTGGATCCGGGCTCGCTCCAGCGGCAGACGGTGATTTGGGGGGTCCGGGTGGTCCCGCTGCGCAGCGGCTCAAAGGCACGGGGGGACTGTGCCCCGTTTCGGGACGGTCCCTCCCGCGGCGCCTGGGAGAGGTGCGGAGCTCTCTCTGCCTCGGTTTCCCCACCTGTGGGAATAAATACCTGCC